TTTTTTTCCTTGATCCCCCCCCTTTGTCCGAATCATGTCAAGATGTAATGAGTTGTGTAACCCTCCAAGTTTCAATAAAACCAGTTCAGACAGACAAATGACCATCATGAAAACATAACTTCCTGTGAGGAGGTAATAAAGCTGACATATACAATCTGCAACCATCAAATTGATATGAAGCATCATTACCGGTGAAATTTTGGCATGAATCCACATGATCAAAGGTGGCACTAGTTCTTATGTTGATACACTGCATTGTACAGGAAGCAGTGAACATATGTGTTCTGTTCAAAAAAATTCTGAAGATGTAATAGAATCCAGTTGTGTTTCCTTTCTCTTGGTCTAAATGCACAGTGTCATACATTTAAAAAGACTTTTGTGTTAAAATATCGGAAAAGTCAGAGCCTCCAGCTATAAAGCTCTTCTCCTGTGGAATTATTCTTTGTTAAAGTCTGCTACACGCAACATATATCACATTGCTGTCCTTCCTGGGAGAGGGATCCCTTACTGAGGAGTTTTCCCCTACTAAAATTTAAAATGTTTCCTCACTCTAGTTGAGGGTTAAGGACAGAGGATGCCGCACCGGCTCATTGAATTCATGCAGTTTATCAAGGTGTCATTGTGACATTCTTAGAATCATCATAGTCACAGTCATTACAGCTGACCAAGCCAAAGCAGCACACTGCAGCAAACATTTATTACATTAGTAAATTAATTGTCTCAATAATAAATCAGTGTGTAGAATCAGCAGGATGTGTGCAGGGGGCGCTCCAGACCATTTATGACACCGTGGTGGCGTCTACCTCCCTTTGTCTGTATCCTGCTGCTGCTGTAATGATGCAAATTTCCTGCCAAGCTATTGATAAGGTTAATAAGGTTCTTGCGAGTGTGTCTGATTGCTCAGCGGTCACAGAACCACGGTTTGTGATTTCTTACATGATACACACAGCACGACAGAATCTGCTTATCCAACAACATCTGCTAAGAATCTCTTTAAGTTACATGACTGTATTTGTCTCCTTTCCAATGGCCAAGAACCCAAGCCCTCAGGAACAGCATTGTACTGTGTGATGATGCACAGCACACAATCATACAAAACAAACAGCTGTGGGCAGCTCTTGCTCAGGAGGGCACGGGGTGTGGTTCCCTCACCAGAGGGCCGATTGTTTAATGCCCGGTTCCTCCATTCCTTGTGTCGAAGTGTCCTCGGGCAAGACACAGCAGTGTTTGAGTAATGTTTGATAGAGAAAGTGCTGCACATAGATGCACTGTGTGAATGGGTTAATGGCAAAACTGTTCTGTAAAGCGTTTTGATTTATTATTGTTTGATAGAATAGTTCTAATAGAATGTATATTTATGTATTTATATGTACTGTATTATGCACAGTAGGCTTTATAGATATTAACTGCATGATTATGTGATAAGGTAATGAAAACGACATGCCCCAAAGTAACAGTTCCAAGAGTCCATCAATCAGGCTATAAAAGTTGCAGCAGTATTGTCTTGTGCTCCACTTTAAATTGAACACTGACATTGCACACACACATTTATTTTGTGAATTCTGGATTATTATCAATCAATTATATGCAGAGTTAAGGCACTTGTTGGTTCAACAGCAGTAAAGTGGTGAGTACTCATTCTTCTTTCAGTAGTTATACTTTTCCTTGTGAAGAAAAGTGGAGGTCCTCTAATGGCCAGGAATTTCTTTGTTATTAGATGAAACCATGTTAGTGCACTACAAGTATAAGACAGGGTCAGATCACATGTTATTATTATTATGAGTTAATAGTCAGTTACTGAATTTAACAATATAGTCATTTTTGTAATTAGTAATAAGTCCACTGGATTTTAGTAAAGTGTAGTCCAATTTGGAATATATTGCACGTCATACTAAAAAATGGACTGTTTTTCTTTTTTGTCTTGAAACGTCTCAAAATAT